CAGCTACTTGGGAGGCTGAGGCAAGAGAATCGCTTAAGCCCAAGAGTTTGAGGTTGCTGTGAACTGTGATGCCACGGTACTCTACCGAGGGTGGCGAAGTGAGACTATTTCAAAAAAAAAAAAGAATTACTAAAGAAAGTGAACCGATTAAGTGGATGGGGGAATTGAAGGAGATGCCAGATATGAGATCTGATACAGCAGTGGAGTGGCTGGTGGTGCTGTTTATGAGATGAAGAACATTGGAGATGTGAATTTACAGTGAAGTTCAGTTTTGGACATGCAGACTTAGAAGTGCTTGTGAGACATTCACAAGGTACTGAGAGCGCATTTCTCTAAATATACACGTATAGAGGAGAGGTCTGGGTTGGAGACAAACATTTGAGAGTAGTGGGCAACATAGATGGTAACTGAAGTCAAGGGAATGTTTAAAATTGCTTAGGGAGAAGGTATAGATTGAAGAAAAGAATGTTTAATATGGGGGCCTGAAGGTTAGTCTGAGCCCTTGGGAATGTGTGGTTTATGTTTGGATAGAGGGTGATGAACTGACAGAGGGGATTGGGAAAGAGCGATGGAAATGGGAAAATCTGGACTGAGAGCTATTTCAGTGAAGTTGGGGACAGTGAACCTAAAGTTGTGTGAGTCTGAAGAATGAGTGTGTAGTGCGAATAAATGCAGTGACTATAAATAATTAAGAGTTTAACAGCGACAGGAGATGAGGGGAGAGCTGAGGATCAGACTTGGTGATAGGAGGGAGCTAATAGAGAAAGAGAGATTGAAGAGACAGCTGATACTGTAAACTTCCTGTGAAGGCAGGAGGAGATGGGATCCAGAGTATAGAGAAAGATGGGAAGCAGAGAAGGCGGAAGTGACGGGAATGTATGCAGGTAAAAGTGAATTTGGTGGTAGAACTGATGAAGTAAGGCTCATGTAATGGTTTTTATTTTCTTTGCAGAGGTGAAGAGAGGAGGAAAAGAAGGTATAGGGAGAGTAGGAAAGTTTGAAAAAGCTTATTATGGAAAGGAAGCTAATGAGAATAACTATATAATTACCAGATAATATTATGTGCCCCATTACCTGGTCCTGATATAAATATTTCTCAGAAGGTTTTATCACCTTTTCTTCTTTACTGTTGCTGCTTGAATTCAGATTTTTATTATTTTCACCTAGGTTCCTGTAGTAGTTTCTCTAAGTGGTCTTCTTGACTTCAGTCTTATCTATTGTTCTCATCTCTTCCACATTGCTATCAAGATTTCTGATTTCTTTTCTTTTTTTTTTTTTTTTGAGACAGAGTCGTACTCTGTCACCCTCAATAAAAGTGCTATGGTGTCATAGCTCACAGCAACCTCAAACTCCTGGGCTCAAGTATTCCTCTTGCCTTAGCCTCCCAAGAAGCTGAGACTACTGGCATCCCCTACAACACTCAGCTAGTTAGTAGAGATGGGGTCTTGTTTTTGCTCAGGTTGGTCTTGAACTTTTGTCCATCCACCCAACTCAGCCTCTCAGACTGCTGGTATTATATATGTGAGCCACTGTGCCCTGCTTTTCCATAGTAGTTGGTTTGATTTGTACTTCCATCAGAAATGGACTGTATTTATTCTGATTAATATTCTTTTTTTTTTTTTATCGAATGGAAACTATGTACATTAATGCATTTCTGGGGTACAGTGTGGTGTTTTCACATACAATTTGAAACATAATATTCTTTTTTTTTTTTTAGCTGTGCTGTAGTTGTCATTGTTGTTTGGCAAGCCCAGGCCGAGTTTGAACCTGCCAGCTCCGGTGTATGTGGCTGGTGCTCTAGCTGCTGAGCTATAGGCGCCAGGCCATGATTAATATTCTTCAGTGGCTTCCTATAATCAATTCTGCAGTCATCATTCTTTTTTCTGATTCATATTTTGGAGCACTATGTGCTAGAAACTGCTTGGTGCTGGGAATCGAACAGTGAATACGGTAGACAAACTTGCTGTTCCCAAATGAAAGTTCCGCTCTCCTTATTTAAACATACCAGGCCCTTCATTTATTCTCAACCTACTTGCTTTTTTTTTTTTTTTTGGCCGGGGCTGGGTCTGAACCCACCACCTCCAGCATATGGGGCCAGTGCCCTACTTGTTTGAGCCACAGGCACCGCTCTCTCTCTATTTTTTTTTTTTAGAGACAGAGTTTTACTTTATCACCCTCGGTAGGGAACCGTGGCGTCACAGCTCACAGCAACCTTCAACTCCTGGACGTAGGTGCTTCTCTTGCCTTAGCCTCCCGAGTAGCTGCACCACAGGTGCCTGCCACAATGCCTGGCTATTATTTGTTGCAGTTTGGCCGGGGCCAGGTTCGAATCTACCACCCTCGTTATATGGGCTGGCACCCTACCCACTGAGCCACCGGGGCTGCCCCTCAACCTACTTTCTTAGCTTTCTTTCCATTACCTGTCATTCACCCCTAACTTTAATGAAATATTTATATTTTCTAAAAATGTTGAGCTCTTTTTTGGTTCTGTGGCCTTTCAATTTACTGTTACCAGTCTTTAAACCCCTACTTTCACTATTACTTAGTGTCACATGTGATAGGAAGTCTTCCTTGATTTCCCTAGTCTGAGTTGAACTTCCTTTGTATTCCCATAGCACTTTGGCAATGTCTTTATGTATTATTATATTTTAATTGGTGATTTTCTTGTCTTCTCTAATAGAAAGTATCTGTTAAGAGCAGGGGCCGTTTCTTTCATTGCTGTATTCCCAGTATCCAATGTAGTACCTGAAGCCTAGTAGGTGTTTGAGAGATGTTGAATGATTGAATGGAGAGGAAAGGAGAAATTGAAGAGACATTTTGAAGCAATGAATGACCAGATTTGACAATAGACTTTTTTTTTTTTTTTT